TTCCGGGTTATTTCTTCAAGATGCTTTACAACCAACTGGTATAGACTTTTGGCTTTTTGAGCCTCTTTTCCATGTCCGGTCTTCCCATGGCGTGTACCCATTCCTGGGATTTGTCCGATCCTCCAGATCAGCAATGCCTTGCACAACGTGGTAAACGTCCTCTCCACAGCTGGCTTGGCGTGGATATCAGCAGCCCATGGCAGGTCCCGTGGGCGGGCTGGATGGTGTCGGCTTTCATTCCTGCAGCGAGTGCGACTCTCAGGACCTTCAGACACAGGAATGGAGGACATCCGCCTCATTCCCCACTCCCTCAGAATTTGCTATACCTCCTCCGTAGATTTCCAGCATCCCGGCTGTCCACGGAGGTTCTCCTGCAGGACGGGGTGATCCGATCCAGAAGGGACTGAGTCCCTTGGCCCCCAGCGCCACACAGGAGTGGCCGGAGGGCAGGGTATGTGGTGCTGTTGCTCATTCTCTGGGCCTCCTGTCCAGTCGGAGAAACGCCACCGCCCCCCTCCCCGTGTCCCACGGCTGCACACGCCACCCCTGGGTATTCCTGGCCTTTTGCTGGAACGTGGCAGCTACCCTAACGAGCTCAATGGCAGTGTGTTCTGTCCTCACGAACGCCCTCCAGTGCCATGCTGCCCACTGGCTGGGGGCGCGGATGTGCCGCTTCTGTGTCCTTTGTGTTCGGGGCCGGACAGCGCGAGGCTGTGTTACAAGCTCTAATCCTGTTATTTTCTTTACTTTGATGTAAGACGCCTTTTACTTCGGTCGCCGTAGCGGCAGGTGCTGTGGTTTCCCCAGTAGGGTGTGTATGGGTCATTATCACTATACTTTCGATTAACACGTTTCCTTTTCATTTAGATTCTGGGGTGCTGTTCTGCTAATTCTTATCTCTGTGGGTACCTGCGGTAATCATTCAGTGGAAGTTTGTCCACCCTTTCCGTATATGTGGTTTAGAGATCTTGCTGTCTCCCAGGTCGGGTTAGCCCAAGCTTTAATATCTAGATGGTTAGTAAGCAACCTAGATTTTGGCTGGAGCGAGCCTCCAAGCCTTTCAGTTCAAGCAGAGGCAGTTGGGTTGTAGGGTTAGGGGGAGATGCACATTCTGGCTTGTTCCTTAGCCCATTCTTGTGTTTGCTTCCCTGCGACGTGGGTGCCCTGATCCAATTCGATGGTAGTTGGGGTACCGTAGCAAACAACCCAGATTTCCAGTGCTCAGATGGTGGATGGTGTAAAATCATTTTCTGGCATGGTTAGGGGAAGCCTGTTCCTGACCATGTGTCTACAGTGGTCCATGCATATAGTCTGTACTCTCATATAGGCAGGGGTCTCTTATGCCCCATGTGTGTAACTTGGGAGAGGCTGTCAGCTTTGACCTTGTCTGGAGTGTTCATTAGTGACCTCTGAGCTTTAACTCTGCCCGTTCTCTCATGTCTTTATGAGAGTGGAGGTGTCTGGTGGGGATACACACGTCCCTGTTCTCTCAGCACTTTCTCCTGCTGTGCATCCCACGTGACCTGTGGCTGAGGCGCCCATGCGTGCTCCCAGTCGTCCTTCCGATGTGCAAGGACGTGTGTGATGAAGCTGGGGATGACAGCCCGTATGTCCTGCCGTATGTCCTCACCCCACATTTATTTCCCGTTGTGCGGTCATTTCCCTGCCGTGTTCTGTACCAAAGAGCTGTGTCCCCAGCTCTTGCCCGTGAGTCTGAGAACAGACGTACCGATTCTGGTTTCCTTTAGCAGACTCTTCCATCGCCAATTTCATGGCTCTTTGTTCAGCACATTGTGCTGATTCTCCTGTTCCTGAGGCTGCCAGGGTTAGACCATCATCGGCTGTCAGGGCAGCAGCTTGGCACGTACTGTGGATGGTGCCACGGAGGTGAATCTGTTTGGAAAGGATGTGCTGTGTTCCATGCACCAGAGTGGTCCCCAGTACGGACTGCTCGAGCGTGGACACGCGCCCCGCCGGCAAGTTCCCACAGGCCCGCTATTGGCACAGCTGGGATTTCCTCCGCTAATGCCGAGGGCCGACCCCCCCGCCCCCATCTCTGTGTCCTGCTCAGAAATGTACCGTTTCCCTGGTGGGACTTCTGGTCGAGGTCGTTCCCCTCTGTCAGGGCTCTGCTCTGCTTGCTCCAGAATAGGCCCCTGGAGTTGACGGATCATGGTTTATTTTCTGTTAGTGGCCCTGCTGTTCGTAGGGCCTCAGAGAGCCCAGCTGAGCCTTTCAGGCAGTTGGTATCTGTTCTCAGAACATGGGAACGTCTCAGTCCAACACCCACTCTGGTGCAACTTGGGGCCCTGCAGTTTTTTAGTCCCTGGTGACCATGTCGCAAACCCTTGTGAGTGAAGACACTCTCGTGTGTGTTCAGAGTCCTCATTAGCTGCTGCCAATGTATCTCAGGTTCTGACGGCGTTTTCCCAATAGGTCAAGGCTGCACCTTGAGTCTCTGTTCTCGTATGGTCCCTACTCTTCCTAGTTATTTCACAAGTGTGTTTTAATATGATCCCCGTATGTGGTTTGGACTGTGTTTCTGACATTCTTCCTCTGTGGTAGGGTCGGTATGCAAGCTATGATGTCTGGGAGGCCGTGTGGTATTTTTCTGCCTTCAGAAGACCACGTCAGGCCTAGAAATTTTATTGTAGTGTGAGATGTGGGGCCTTTATTTGGGTCGATTGTCCATCCCCTGAATGTGAGGAGTTCAATGAACGCTATGAGGACGTTAGCCTATTCTCCAAGTTGTTACCAGAAATAAGGGTGTCGTCACTGTAGGAAATGTGAGTGTGTGTGTGTGCGCGCACGTGCATGCGTGCGTGTGTGTGTATATGTAGTGTGTCAATGAAAGGCCTGGATGTCTTGGGCTAGAAGGTTGTGGAGTCTTTCTGGGCTGCTAAGGTAGCTCTGTGGTTACCTGGTGAACTGAAAATGTCTGCCTTCCCGTGTGAATGTGGTCATGGGTTGGCTCTCTGTATCTGTGGGAAGAGCAAAGAACAGGTCAGATGAGTCGACCAGCATGTACTGAGTTTCAGATTCACTGATGATATGGCTTACGATAGTGCTTCTATCTGAAAGTATTCCCTCAATTTTCTGCAGTCTTAGTTTAAATTCCTATAACCTGTTATAAATCTATAGGACTTGTGTCACTTTCAACCCGCCAGATTGGTCTATTATGTGAAATAGTACAATAATTTGTTCCTTTAGGAGTTTTTTAATTTTTTCCCTAATTTGAATAGGTCCTATTTCATCCATTCCAAGAATGTTTTCCCAATGGGGACATTTAAGGTACTTACCCTTTTAAAAAATTATTTATTTTTTTAAGATTTTATTTATTTATTTGAGAGAGAGTGAGAGCACAAGCCGGGGAGGGGCAGAGAAGCAGACTCCCTGCTGAGCAGGGAGCCCAACGTGGGACTCGATCCCAGGACCCTGGGATCATGACTGAGCCGAAAGCAGACGCTTAACCAACTAAGCCACCCAGGCACCCATTACTTCCCTTAATGGCTGGTCTCTCACCAACTGTTAGGAATCTAGTTACCCATGTCCCTGGGCTTAATTTTCCTCATAATCCTTTAAATAGCTGCCATGTCAGAAAGATATTTGGGGTGGGATTCCTCTGCCCTGGAGGCTATGCAGGTTGTTGGGGACTGGCCAGAGCACTCCAGTCCTGGAGGCCCCAGATGCTCAAGGGCAGTTGATGGGCTGTGTACTCTGGGTGTGAGGTGTGCAGGTCAAGGAAGCCAGGGACCTAGACCTAAAGGTGTCTGAGAGTCCAGGTGCCAGGGGTGAGGTCTTGGGGGTCCACATATCTGCCTAAATTTGTCCCCTCCTACACAGATGTACTTATTCCTCCTGAACATATAGCTAGAGAAACCTACACTGTCTTTCCGGGGTAAGTTTCATTAAGTGACACCCGGTTCAGGGGAGGAAAACATTTTCTCTGTATTTTAAGGTTCTTCTAGCTGGTTTAACTTGCCTTTTTTTAAAGATTTTATTTATTTGTCAGAGAGCACGTGCAAGCACAAGCAGGGGGAGTGGCAGGCAGAGGAAGAAACAGGCTCCTTGCAGAGCAAGGAGATCAATGTGGGACTTTGTCCCAGGACCCTGAGATCATGACCTGAGCAGAAGGCAGACAAAAACAACTAGAGAGCCACTTAGCCTTCCCAACTTGATGTGATTAACAGGAGGAAAAAAAAAAACACAAACACACAAAGTTTTATTGCATGTGCATGAAGGCCTAATGATGAAATTGAGACATGGAGAATGACCAAGGTAGGCAGATTTTGTATATTTTAGATAAAGAAGCATAAATCTGTGAGAAATTTGCAGGACAATTAATCAAGTAACCAGGTATTAAATAAGAGGCATTTCTATGTAAAGAAAAAAAAAAGTGGTTAATGAGTGAAGCAAATGATACGTCAGTTTCTGAGTTCTGAGGGTGGCAGTCGAGAGGATTTCTAGACATCAGGGTTGAAGCATCTTTAGATGGAGTGAAGGAAGGCTGTGGCAATTGGAGAGCTTTCCCGGTTTGCAGCTGGAATGTCTCTGCTGATCTCTGTGAGTGGCCCACACAGCAACAGGCTCAGAGATTGTCTGCATATGAGCTAATGTAGTGGTTTCTCTGAAGTATACATCCAGTCGTTCATATTCAGTTGTCAAGGCTTCAGGAAAAGGGGCAGTTTCAGTGTTCAGTGATTTCAAGTCAAAGAGATGGAAGAAAATTGGAAATGTTAGTTTGGAGAGTTGTAGTCTGACATTGGAGGAATCTGGAAGAATTCAGGAACCAGAGTAGTTTATAGATAGAAAACCTCAAAACAATGAACAGAACTAGAATCTAATACCCAAAAGTACGTATTGTAGTTACAGTGGAATCCTAATGTTTCTCTCAACAATTACTCCCATTTCTAGCAACAGTAACCACAGTAAGACTAATTTGTTTGCTAATTAGATGAAGTTTCAATAAACTTGGCTTCATTATTCACATCAGTGCAGTAAGAATAGCAATTGACCATATAGAATCTTTTAAATCTGTTTTGCTGGAACTTTTCATAAGGAATCACAGATTGAAGTTATTGAAAATTTTATTTTTGAAGTACAGTTGATACACAATATTACTTTAGTTTCTGTTGTACAATATAGTGATTCAACAAGTCTACACAATATGCAATACCATGATAAGTGTCATTAACATCTGTCACCATATACTATTATTACAATGTCACTGACTATATTCTCTATGCTGTACCTTTCCTCCCTACGACTCACTTATTTTATAACTGGAACGTTGTACCTCTTAATCCTCTTCCCCTATTTGGCATATAGTCCCACCCCCTTCCTTCTGCATGCAACAGTTTATTCTCTTTATGAGTCTGATTTGGGTTTGGGTTTATTTTCTTTTGTGTTTTAGATACCATATACAAGTAAATCTGTATGGTTTTGTTTTCCTCTATCCAACTTATTTCACTTAGCATAAAGCCCTGTAGGTCTATCTGTGTTGTTACAAATCGCAAGATTTCTTTCTTTTTTATGGCAGAGTACTATTTCATTGTGTATATATATTACATCTTTATCCATTCATCTGTCATTGGACGTGTAGGTCACTTTTATATCTTGGCTATTGTAAATAGTGTTGCAATGAGCATAGGGGTTCATATATCTTTTTGAATTAGTGTTTTCTTTTTCTTTGGGTAAATACCATCGCAGAAATTCCATACGATCCAGTAGTTCTATTTTTAACTTTTTGAGGAACCTCCATACTGTGTTCCTCAGTGGTTGCACCAGTTTGCATTCCCACCAACAGTGCACAAGGGTTCCCCTTTCTCCGCATCCCCGCCAACACTTGCCATCTCTTGTCTGTCTGACACTATCCATTCTGAGAGGTAGGAGGTGATATCTCATTATGCTTTTGATTTCAGTTTTCCTGATGATGATGAGTGATGTTGAGTGTTTTTTTCATGTGGCTGTTGGCCATTTCTCTGTGTCTTCTTTGGGAAAAGTGTCTACTCAGGGCCTTTACCTTTTTAAAAATTGGGTGATTATTTGGTGGGATTTCTGTGTGTGTGTGTGTGTGTGTAGTTGTAGTTCTTTGTATATTTGGATACTAACCCTTTATGGATATGTCATCTGCAAATATCTTCTCCCATTCATTTTTATTTTGTTGATGGTTTCCTTCACTGAGCAAACCTTTCCAGTTTGGTGTAGTCTCTATAGTCTATTTTGCTTTTGTTTATTTTACACATGAGAAGGGTGTTGCTAAGGCTGATGTGCAAGGTTTTACCTCTTTTTTCTTAGGAGTTTTATGGCTTTAGGGCTCACACCTGGGTCTTTTTTTTTTTTTTTTAAGATTTTATTTATTTATTTGAGAGAGAGAGAATGAGAGCGAGCACATGAGAGGGGGTAGGGTCAGAGGGAGAAGCAGACTCCCTGCCGAGCAGGGAGCCCGATGCGGGACTCGATACAGGGACTCCAGGATCATGACCTGAGCCGAAGGCAGTTGCTTAACCAACTGAACCACCCAGGCGCCCTCACACTGGGGTCTTTAATCCATTTTGAGTTCATTTTTGTGGATGGTGTAAGCACATGGTCCCATTTCAGTCTTTTGCATGTGGCTGTCCACTTTTCCCAGCACCCTGTATCGAAGAGACTGTCTTCTCCCCACTGCATATCCTGGCCTCCTTTGTCATAGATAAATTGACCATAAAAGCCTGGGTGTATTTCTGGGCTCTCTGTCCTGCTCCATTGATCTAGGTCTGTTTTTGTGTCAGCCCCATACTGCTTTGATCACTACAGCTTCATGATATATCTTGAAATCTGGGATTGCTTTGGCTGTGCAGGGTCTTTGTGGTTCCATACACATTTTAGGATTACTTGTTCTCGTTCTGTGAAAAATACTAGAGATATTTTCATAGGGATTGCATTGAATGTGGAGACTCCTTGGAGTAGTGTGGACATTTTAACAACATTAATTCTTCCATTCCATGAGCTTAGTGTAGCTTTCTATCTGTTAGTGTCGTCTTCAATGTCTTTCATCCATATTTTATAGTTTTCAGAGTACAAGTGTTTCATTTCCCTGGTTAAATTTATTCCTAGGTATTTTATTCCTTTGGATACAATCACAAATGGGATTGTTTTCTTAATTTCTCTTTCTGCTACTTTGATATCAGTGTATAGAAACAACACACTTCTGTATATTAACTTAGTATCCTATGATTTTCCTGACTTCATTTATTGGTTGTAATAGATTCTTGGTGGAGTCTTCAAGGTTTTCTACTTGTAATATCATGCTGTTTGCAAATAGGGACAGTTTTACCTCTTCCTTACCAATCTAGATGCCTTTTATCTCTTTTTCTTGTCTGGTTACCAGGGCTAGGTCTTCCAGTACCATGGTGAACAAAAGTGGCACCAGTGGGCATCCTTGTCTTGTCCCTGATCTTAGAGGAAAATTCTCGGTTTTTCACCGTTGACTCTGATGGGCGCTCAGGGTTGCTGCAATATGGCCTTTATCATTTGAGGTATGTTTCCTCCATTGCCACTTTGTTGAGGGTTTTATTATGAACAGATGTTGTCAAATGCTTTTTCTGCATCTGTTGAGATGAACACATGGTTTTTATCCTTCATTTTGTTAATGTGATGTGTCACCATGATTCCAGCATTGAACCATCTTTCATCTCTGGAATGAATCCCACTTCACTCTGGTGAATAATCCTTCTAATGTATTGTTGAACTTGGTTTGCAAATAGTTTGTTGAGGGGTATTTTTGCATCTATGTTCATCAGGGATACTGGCCTGTAGTTCTCCTTTTTTGTAGTGTCTTTTTCTGGTTTTGGTAAAATGGTAATGCTGGCCTCATAGAATGAATCTGAAAGTTTTCCTTCTTTTTCTGCTTTTGAATTGGTTTGAGAAGAATAGTTCTTAACTCTTGTTTCAAGGTTTGGTAAAACTCACCTGTGAAACCATCTGGTCCTGGACTTTTGTTTGTTGGGAGGTTTTTTTGGTTTTTTTGGTTACTGATTCAATTTTGTTACTAGTAATTGGTCTGTTCAGATTTGCTAATTCTTCCTGATTCAGTTTTGGAAGATGGGATGTTTCTAGCAATTTATCTATTTCTTCTGGGTTATCTAGTTTGTTGGTGTGTAATTTTTCATGACAGTCTCTCATAATCTTTTGTGTTTCTGTGCTGTTATTTCTCTTATTTCTAATTTTATTTGAATTTTTTTTCATAATGAGTCTAGCTAAATGTTTATCAATTTTGTTTCTTTTCAAAGAACCAGCTCTTCATTTTATTTATCTTTTCTGGTTTTTTAGTCTCTATTTAATTTCTTTTCACTCTGATCTTTACTATTTCCTCCCTTCTGCCAACTTTGGGCCTTGTTTGTTGTTGTTCTTCTAGTTCCTTGAGGCATGAGGTTAGATTATTTGAGATTTTTCTTGTTTCTAGAGGGAGGCTGGTATCACTACACACTTCCCTCTTACAACTTCTGCTGCTTCCCAAAGATTTTACGATGTTGTGTTTGCATTTTCATTTGTCTCCAGGTATTTAAGTTTATTCTTTGAAGATACATTTGTTATTTAGTAGCATGTGTTTAGCCTCCACATGTGTTTTTTCCATTTTTTTCTTGTCACCAATTTCTAGTTTCATGTGGTTTAAAAAGATGCTTGATGAGATTTCAGTCTTCAGTTTGCTGAGACTTGGTTTGTGGCCCAACCTGTGATCAACTCCAGAGAACGCTCCACATGCACTTGAGATGAATGTGTATTCTGCTGTCTGGGACAGATTGTTCTGTGTGTATCTGTTATGTCCATCTGGACTCGTGTGTTGTCAAGGTCAATGCATCTTCCTGTCTGGCTGATCTGTCCACAGAGGTAAGTGGGGTGTTACAATCCTCTCCTGCTACCGTATCACCGTGGACATCTCCCTTTATGCCTGCTAATATCAGTGAATAACTTGTGTACTTGGGTGTTTCTGTGCCGGGTGCACAGATAACTTAGAAACTGTCCTATTCTCTTGTTGGATTGATCCCTTTATCACTAGGTAATGCCTTTCTAAGTCTCTGGTTACAGATTTTAAGTCTTTTTTTTCTGACAGAAGGATTGCTACGCTGGATTTGTGTGTGTGTGTGTGTGCGCGCGCTTCTCTTTGCATAGATCTCTTTCCATCCTTTTACTTTCAGTCTGCATGTGTCTTTAGGTCTGAAGTGAGTCTCTTGTAAACAGCACATGGATGGGTCTTGTTTTTTAATCCATTCAGTCACCCTCTCTTTTTTGGAGTATTTATGCCATTTGCATTTAAGGTAATTAGTGATACGTATGTGCTTATTGCCATCTTGTTAAATTCCCTCTGGTTGGGTTTGTGGTTCTTTTCCTTTCTTCTTGTTCTCGTCCTTTACAATTGATGACTTTGTTTAGTGTTATGCTTGGACCTTTCCGTTCATTTTTTGTGTATCAGTTACAGGTTTTTGGTTTGTGGCTACCATGAAGTTCATATATAACATCCTAACTATACAGCAATCTATATAAAGCTGGTGGTCGCTTAAGTTCAAACACATTCTGAGAGCCCTACATTTTTGTTCCCCCTTTCATGTTATATGTCTATGATGTCATGTTTCACATCTTTGATTTTGTGAGTTCTTTATCTTTTAACTTTCATACTAGCTTTATAAGTGCTTGATTCACTGCCTTTAGTGTATGTTTGCTTTTCCTGACAATTTGCCTTTCATAATTTCCTTCTAATTATAGCCTTTCCTTTGCTACTTCAGGAAGTCCTGTTGACATTTCTTGTAACTCTAGTTCAGTGGTGATGAACTCCTTCAACTTTTGCTTGTCTGGGATATGCTTTCTCTTTTCTTCAGTTCTAAGTGATATAGTATACTTGGTTATAAGTTTTTCCCTTCAGCACTTTGCAGGCAAGAGGGAGTGGTGATCTATTCAAAGTTTCTGCTGAAAAACTGGCTGATTGCCTTTTGGGGTTTCCCTTGTGGGCAACTAGTTGTTTTCCTTCTGCTGCTTTTAAGATTGTCATTATCTTTAATCTTTGACATCTGGATTATTATCTGTCTTGGTTGGACTTCCTAGGGTTCATCTTCTTTGGGGCTCTCTCTGCTTCTTGATCTTGGATCTCTGTCTCTTTTCCCAGGTTAGGGAAGTTTTTGGCTATTATCTTTTCAAGTAACTTTTCTGCCCCTTTCTCCTCTTCTTCTGGGACCCTTATAATATGAATGTTGGTATATTTGATGTTGTCCCAGACCTTTCTTAACCTATCTTTTTATTTATGCACATCTTCCTTCCTTCCCTCTCTGCTGCTCAGAGTGCTTTCCATGACCCTGTCTTCCAGATTATTGATCCTTCTGTATCCTCTAATCTGTTGATTCCCTCACATGTACTCTTCATTGCAGTTACTGTATTCAACTCTGATTCTTTCTTATATTTGCTCTCTCTCTGGAAATTCTCACTGAGCTCATCTAGTTCTCTCAAGTCCAGTGAGCACCTTATGACCTCTACTTTGAAGTCTTTATCGGGTAGATTGCTTATCTCTGTTTCACATGGTGGTTTTTCTGAAGCTTTGTCTTGTTCTTTCATTGGGAGCATATTCCTGTCTCCTCATTTTGTGTTTCTGTAAAGTAGGTGGAACAGCTGTATCTCCTTATCTTGAAGGAATGGTCTTATATAGGAACATTCCCTGTGTGGACTGCCTGTGCCTGGTGGCTTTGGCTGGCTAGCTGGCTGGGACCATGGTGGGTAGAGGCTGTGGGTCTCAGTGCACTCCAACCCAGGGCCACCCTGCTGGGACAGCTGGAGCTGAAGTGGGAGTGGGCCAGGGGATCCCTGGGTGCTCCATGCAGAAGGTGCTCTGCTGTCAACAGGTAGAGGTAAGGTTGCTACAGCCCAGGAAGTCCCAGTACATTCAGTGCAGGGGGCACCCTAGCAGGACGCCTGGAGCTGAAGTGCCATGGGCTGCATGGGGACCCAAGGTGCTGCACAGGGGCTTTCATGATGGGATGGATGGCACGAGCCAAAGCGGGTGTGGACCCGGATGTCCTGGGGTACTCCACATAGGGGGTTTCCTGGAAAGTTGTGTGGAGTGGAGACAGGTACAGGCAGCTCCCAGGGTGCTTTGTGCCCGTGTCACCCTGGAGAGACAGCTGGAGCTGTATTGGGGAGTGTCTGCTGTGTGCTGCCTGGGGTTGCCTTGCTGGCTTGGCTGGGGTCAGCTAGGGGCCCAGGGCTTGCTAAGGCAGCAGGCTGGCAAGGAAGCCCAGCGCCCCCCCCCCCCATCTGCATTAGCAAGGTGAAGGGAGAATGGAAACCATGGTGAGGGCCAGCACCTCTGACTCCAGAGAGCATTACAGCAGGTCCCCCACCATTGGGCAGGTGCTCTAGGATCATTCCCTTCTAATCTAGCTTTACACCGTGGCTTGTTTTCTGTGCCCTGGTTGGATGAATCTGCTCCCAGTCCCTCCACCCTACCCATCCCCACTGATCCCCTGGTAAGGCCCTGGGACTCTGTAAGCAAGGCATCAGGCTGACATTTCCCAGGGGCTTTACTGGCTCCGTAAAGTCCACCTCAGTTCTGAGTTGATGCAGATCATTCTAGTCAAAGCCTTGGTAACGTCGTCCGTGTTGCCCACTGTGTCCGTTACAAGCAGAACAGATTCTCCATGGACTTCTGCAAATACGTGGCCAAGAAGAATACTCAGAGCTGCTGACTCTGGACGCATTAGGCCCAGGTAAGGAAGTGTAGTCGCTCTTGCTCTTTGTCATGGTTTCCTGAAGCCGTCAGGCTCTCCCTCAGAGCTCTGTGAATCCGCACGCAGGTCAACGGTCTCCAATCATTGGAGATCCGTATCCTGGAGTCTGGGTCTGTCCTCACCTGAGTCCCCTTGAGGAGGGAGCACTTGTGCAAAAGCTTCAGAATGACACGATAACCACCTGTCAGTGAGAAAAGGAGGCAGGGAGGCAGATGACATGAAAGGTAAAGTAAAATGTTTATAATTCCTTATAAAAAGCAGACCAGTAATCCTAGAAAAGGAGAAAAACCAAATTTTAATTTTGCGTGAGCTTGCTTTTGATATTAAAACTTGTTTTTAAATTTATCCAAGCCAGTTGATCACACATTTTAAAATTTTGCCCAATCAGATTTTCTTTTTAGATTTTTTATTCATTTATTTGACAGAAAGAGCATGAGCAGGGGGAGTGGCAGGCAGAAGGAGAAGCAGGCTCCCCGCTGAGCAAGGAGCCTGATGCGGGACTCACTCATCAAGCCTCCCAATCAGATTTTGTCCTAAGTTTTCCCCCTAAAATAACCAGTCTTACATTAGGACAAAATTACTTTTCCTCAACACAAAAAATACATTTTTTACCAAAAGCACATATCCTTTTTTTTTTGCGAGAGAGAGCACGAGAGGGAGGAGGGTCAGAGGGAGAAGCAGGGAGCCCGATGTGGGACTCGATCCTGGGGCTCCAGGATCATGACCTGAGCCGAAGGCAGTTGCTTAACCAACTGAGCCACCCAGGCGCCCCCTACTTTTCTTGCATACAGAAATGCTCCCCTTAATATCTTTAGTGCCCCCTGGACATGCAGGTCCTATTGGTTCACCGTTCTACTTAATATAGTGGTTAAAGATACTAAGTAGCGGGCTTGTGAACTGTTCGGCCGGCGTTCTTCCTGTTGGCAAAGTGATGACCACATTTCATAATTCCTACAAACCTGTGTTTCCATAGGGCCTGAGAAAGGTTTACTAACAGACCCAAATGTATCTTTAGTTTCTCTGTAATAAGGAACCCCACAGTAGTCAACCTAAGAGACCAATACGTTGTGATTTTACCTTATTTGGAGTGACCTAGGTGCACAGCTAGGTCCTCGGGCTCTCCAAGCACTAGACGTCCAGCAGGAATTCCAGACACGGCTTCTATGGGGCTGACGCCCATGCGCCAGGGAGCCAGCACAGAGCGCCGGTGTCCTAGGCCAGGGAAGGGTGACGCCTGAGCACGTGGGGGCAGGGAGAGGCCGGGGGCACAGTGCACAGAACATGCTTCTGCATACATCACGTGCCTCGTTGGCATGTTCGACCCCTGGGTGTGATTTACTAGGAGAACCGGGGGGAGGTAGGTAGAGTGGGGCACCGGGCTCCATCTTGGCGCAGGCTGGTTTGGTCCCGTCCTCACCAGCCTTCGGAGTCCCTCCGTCCCCTGCAGGATGTGCCGTCCAAGGGCACAGCATTCTGGCTCTCCTGGGAGCCCCACCACTCAGGGGCGCTGCCGATCCGGGGTGCTGGGGCTGGGGGCCCGAGTCTAGTCCCTGATCTGTCTCCTAGGCTTTCGACAGATTTAACTCGTCACTTAGCAAAATGTCAACGTTTCAGGTCACCAAAAAGATTCAGGGGAATTATTTCCACCTACCTATGCAGGTAATGTGCTCTCAACAGCCCTGTGTCCATCAGCCACGCACACTGCACGAGCCGTCTGTCCAGCAAAGTCCACCATTCTCTCCAGCGGTGGTGGTGGTGAGAAATTCTGGAACCTAGATAACATAAAACTCTTATTGTTCCTGGGTTTACTGGAAGTCCAATGAGTTTAATTCTAAGGCTCATAACTCTATTAAACCCACAACCTTAAATTGGTCTTACTATCAAATATTTTCCCAGGTCATGTGAACTGGAAATTCATTTGGATTTAGTTTCTATTTTATTTTTGAGAATTTTTATGAATACTGAGTGTATGTAAATGCCCAATTTTCTAGAGCCCTTTTACAAATTAATTTTGGCAATAATACCTTATCTGTCACATACCTACACATTCATATAGACGAACACGGAGCTCTTGTAGCTTGTTTCAAAATAACCGTTGGAATCAATTGAAATTACTGGCCCCGATGGCTTAAAGCCTTTCAGGGTTTGTGGACAAGATTGTAAGGTTTGTCCCTGGACACAATCCTAGGAAGGCTGGGGTCTGGAGGGGGGCAGAGCCCCTCTGCAGGTTTCAGTGTTTAAAAAGGTCTCTTTCCCTCCTTTGATTCTCTCAGGCAGGTGTGGGCTGTGTTCACACTTCAGAGACATGGTAAGATTTATAACTTTAAGGGACAGAGAATGAATGTAAGTTTTATGGTTCTAAACATTTTGGTGTAATTGTTTTTCAGATTTTCCTTCCTTTCTGACAGCGTGATTTTGTTCCCGTGTCCTCCTATTTCTTATTATCTACAAACCTCTGAGAGGAACAGGTGAGGTGTCTGGATTGGTAAAGGTAGGCGGGCTTTGACTTGCTTCTAGATTTGCATTTCTGGTTTTGTAGGGGCTTGGGAGACCAAGACGGTGGTATCTGCACCCCCGAGGAGCTGGGTGTCTCGGGCCCAGCTGCCCGCCTTCCTAACCTTGCTTGGCTTCCTCACATCAGGACGAACGCCAGCCAAGCCGCGAATCAAGTCTGTATAAAGTTTTCTGAGTTCAAATTCAACCTTGGCTCCGATCAGCACTGGGATACCGACCTTTAGCCGGTCACTTGTAGGAAGGCCTCGGAGGGACGCTGGTCCTCTGCTTCCCCTATGGGGGACAGTGGGTGTCGAGGGACACTCCTCCCTCATTTCTCCCCACAGTTGGGAGGATCTGGAAGCGGAGGTAGACGGGCTTTATAATTTAAAGGATCTGCTGCTGTCCTGGGGATCTGACCTTGGCGCGGTGGGGAGGGGTGGTCTAGGGTCCATCTGTAGAGGACACTGCACAGGTCTGCTGAGGCCGGCAGAGCCTGGACCGAGCCAGGAGTTGCAAACCTCACTGCCTAGCTCCGAGTGTGGACACGGCTACCCTGTCGACCTGGGGCCCAGAGATTAGGCCAGAGTGCTCTCTGCAAACCGTGTAGGGAACGGCAAGTCCCAAGAGGCCGAGGGGGGCCACATTCTGAGAACGGGAGCTTAGCTTGGAGGACATTCACTTCTGTCTTAATTCTAATTTCTGTTGTCTTGTCCAGGCAGTCCCTGAGGCTAACTCTTGTACTCCTCAGACAACAGGGAACTCGCTACAGAGAAGTCGTTCTCTCTCAGAGCCAATTTAAAGAGTCCATCATGGGGCCAGTGATGAGTAGGAGCTTATTCATCTGAACAGGGACTCAAAGCAATAAGGTTCTTTATGGAAAGACGCAGAGGCAATCACCGTGAACACAGGTGATGCAGCCCCCATTTACTCCCCAAAACAGTCTAAGAAAGGGCCTTCGTACACAGGGAGTGAGGACGGGTGCTGAGCGCGGGGTTTCCCGTCTCCCACAAATGTGAGTGCCTCTCATGCCAGACCCCACAGAGAGCTGGAGGGTTCCGTGTTGCCGGACCCCGGTCCGCGGGTTCTGTGACGGGCCACCGACGGTCACCCCGGAAGCGCCCCCTACCACAGCGAAGGCAGAGAAGATCCTCACCACTCACGAAGCCAGGCGCTCAGGACACAAGAACATGAAAGCACACGCCTCGCCCGGATTCCACGCGGGGGACCCACAGCACAGTGTGAACGCACCCTTCGAGGCCGGCTCAAACCGCAGGCTTGCAGGTCCAAGGGTGTGTTCTCCCTGAGGTGAGTCCTCTTTATGACAAAAGACAAACGGCCACCATCCCTGGGAGGAAATGGGTGAATCGGCCATGAGAATCTACCAAATTCACCAGACTCGCTAAGCCCAAGGAACTGGTTCGGCAAGTATTTTCTCCCGCTGATCTGAGTTTAGAACGTGAGAAAAGGGACTCACACTCTTGCTCCCATCCGACCCAGAGGCTGACTCGGGAAGGATTCTCGCACCGGCTGCGTCGTGAGTCAGGTTAATTGAAAGTAATCAATATCCACAGTAGGACGGGGAAAGATGGCGGAGGAGTAGGGGACCCTATTTCAACTGGTCCCCGGAATTGAGCTGGATATCTACCAGACCACTCTGAGCACCCATGAAACCAGCCTGAGATGTAAGAAGATCTGGATCTCTACAAACAGAGTATCGCAGGCGGTTGGTTCCAAGGTACGAAGCGGGGAGCCATGATTCTGTGGGCAGATATCAGCATAAATGGCAGCGGGAGGGAGCCTGGCCGTGGGGATCCTACACCGCCGGTGAGCGACAGCCTCCTGCGCTGGGGACGGGGGCACAGACTCGCAGACCGGTAGCGTCGGGAAAGGACTTTAGGGCAGCCCCCGGGGTGGAGGACCAGACCAGCGGGGGCGCGCGCAGGCGAACTGGGAGCGGCTGGCGGTTTTAGAAGCACAAAGGGCAGAGACGTGCCCCGACCTGGAGGCAGGACTGGGGGCGCTGCGGAGGGGCGCACAACCCAGGCTGCTGCAGTTTCTAGCAGCACGGACAGAAACGGAGACGGTGTGGCCTGGAGAGCTCACTGAAGAACAGACTGAGGTCTCTCTGCTCTGAGGCAGAGGGTTGGAAACGGTCTCTTCTGCTCTGACTCGCGCGGAAGAGACGCGGAAAGCCTCCAGGGAAAGGTGCCAGACAACAGAAGCCCCAAAGACTGCTTCCCACTGAGCCCATCCCCCACCACAGGGGCGCAGGGCAACTCCGCCCAAACAGGGTTGCCTGAGTAACAGCTTGGCAGGCCCCTCCCGCAGAAGACAGGCTGGGAAAACAAGAGGCCAGCAACCCTAAGGTCCCAAGAAAACAGGTGCATCTTGCTTGGGTTCTGGTCAATAATTTGGACTCTATACATTCCCTCAAACACCCATCAACAGAATGACTAGGAGGAGCAGCCCCCAAAACAGAAAAGACTTAGAGATTATAAATGGATGCAGGTATAACCAAGATGTCAGAGATGGAATTCAGGCTAGCCATTGTGAAGACAATGGCTAGAATGGAGAAATCAATTAATGGCAACAGAGTCTCTAAGGGCAGAAATAAAAGGTGAATTGGCAGAATTTAAAAATGCTATCAATGAGATCCAATCCAATCTAGATAATCTAACAGCTAGGGTAACTGAGACAGAAGAGAGAATAAGCGACCTGGAAGACAATATAACAGATAAAAAGGGAAAAGAGGCGGCCAGGGAAAAACAACTCAGAATCCATGAAAATAGAATCAGAGAAATAAGTGACACCATGAGGCGTTCCAATGTCAGAATCATTGGAATCCCGGAGGGAGTGGAGAAAGAGAGGACTAGAAGATGTATTTGAGCAAATCGTAGCTGAGAACTTCCCTAATCTGGGGAATGAAATAAACATTCGAGTCCTAGAGGCAGAGAGGACCCCTCCTAAGATCAAGGAAAACAAGCCAACACCCCAGCATGTAATAGTAAAACTTGCAAATCTTAGAACCAAGGAAACCATCTTAAGGGCAGTTAGGGGGAAGAGATTCCTTACGTACAGAGGGAGGAACATCAGAATAACATCAGACCTATCCACAGAGACCTGGCCAGCCATATTCAGGGTACTAAATGAGAAGAACATGCAGCCAAGAATACTTTATCTGGAAAGGCTTTCATTTAGAATGGATGGAGAGATGCAGAGCTTCCACGACTGGCAGAAGTTGAAACAATATGTGACCACTAAGCCGGCCCTGCAAGAAATATTAAGGGGGGGGTTCTATAAAAGGAGAAAGACCCCAAGAGTGATCTACAACAGAAATTTACAATCTATAAAAACAACGTCTTCACAGGCAACATGATGACAATTAATTCATATCTTTCAATAATCACTCTCACCATGAATGGCCTAAACGCTCCCATAAAATGGCACAGGGTTGCAGATTGGATAAAAAGACAGGACCCATCCATATGCTGTCTACAAGAGACTCATTTTGAACCTAAAGATACATCCAGACTGAAAGTGAAGGGATGGAGATCTATCTTCCATGCCAGCGGACCTCAAAAGAAAGCTGGGGTAGCAATTCTTATATCAGACAAATTAGATTTTAAACTAAAGTCTGTAATAAGAGACCCAGAAGGACACTATATCATTCTTAAAGGGTCTATCCAACAAGAAGATCTAACAATTGTAAATATCTATGCCCCCAACATGGAAGCAGCCATCTACATAAGCCAACAGTTAACCAAAATAAAGAGTCATATTGATAACAATACGTTAATTGTAGGAGACCTCAATACTCCACTCTCAGCAATGGACAGATCATCTAAGCAGAAAATCAACAAGGAAACAAGAGCTTTGAATGATACATTGGACCAGATGGACCTCATAGATATTTACAGAACATTCCACCCTAAAACAACAGAATACTCATTCTTCTCGAGCGCACATGGAACTTTCTCCAGAATAGACCATATACTGGGTCATAAATCAGGTCTCAACCGATACCAAACGATTGAGATTATTCCCCACATATTCTCAGACCACAATGCTCTAAAACTGGAACTCAAGCACAAGAAAAAATTTGGCAGAAATTCAAACACTTGGAAGCTAAAGACCACTCTGCTCAAGAATGTTTGGGTCAACCAAGAAATCAAAGAAGAACTTAAACAATTCATGGAAATCAATGAGAACGAAAACACATCGGTCCAAAACCTATAGGATACTGCAAAGGCGGTCCTAAGGGGGAAATACATAGCCA